AAAGTGCCCCAGGAGCGCTTAAGCTCTCTGGGAGCTCACCTCATTCTCTGCATTTCCTGCTGTGGCAGACTACAGTCAGCTCTCCTATGCTGTTATTTTGCCCTGATCAAGCAAACTCTTTGTTCTCTTTCCTGGCAAAATGTCTCGAGCTCTGTTTTCTGTCATTTTTTCCCCTAGACATCTATTGTATTGCTGCCGTCTTCTTGCTAAAGACGGATGGCGGGACGAGTACAGATTGTTGGGTAATTGAACAACAAATCTGGTTAGTTTGAGGATTTGCGGACGGCCGACTGCTGATGCGTGAGCCGGCCGAGGGAGGCTGTAACTGGAGCAGGAGGCTCTAAGATGCCGCCAGTGGCGATGCAATCAAGTGTCACATCTGTCCTCCCAACGCCCACCGCTGACCTCACATCACAGCTCTGGCAGCTAATGCTGTTTGGGTCGGTTTGTTCAGAAACACACACACACAAAAAAGAAAGAAAATCCAAACAAAGCTACATCTGCCATTTAACTGTTTGGACATTTCTCAGGGGATCTGTTAATTTCTGGTAATTTTAATGTATTTATCTCTGAACCCTGAGCAGCTTCTGGTTTTGTTTTTTTCTATTTTGCTATTGTCATATTTTTATTCACTGTAGGCTCATTTTTCACTGCAATATGAAGTCCTATACTGATATGGAAACAGCATAGCCATGACTAGAAGTAGAGAGAACTCAAAAATATCGATTGTGCAGCAAAACAAAAATAGCATTTCATAAATCCTAAAAAATAAAACCCCAAATATTACATTTATTTGATTGTTTTACACTAGAATCAGCGTGTACATTATTTTTCCAAGTGCCTACAGGTGTCACCAAAATTAGAACAAACAGGTAACTCTGCATACTGAAGATGTTTTACTACTTTCAGATTTACTTGCCTTCAATCTGCTTTGTCTGCAGTTCAGTCTAATTCTTCTGAAAAGGCCCTGAATATTTGTCCCATGACTGTTGCTTACAGCTGAACCTGTCATGACTTCCCAGAGGGACACTGACTCTTCAATTTTTTTTAACAGAATTTAAAAATGATGCATCGAGAATAAAAAGACTTTGGTGAAATATCACAATTTCCAGCTTAGATTTGGTTCAGTTTTTGTACAGAACAATGTCATGAGTAGTTCAAGTGCTGTCAAAGAAAATCCGATGATTCCTTCTGTTCTTGATATAATAAATGGTGTAATTTTTTAATCTTTTTTTTTTCTTTGTTAAGATAACAACCCTGCTGGTGGGTTTTGGAGTTCAGAGGGTTAGAAAATATCAGTGCAGACTGGAGCTCTGCTAGTAAAGAAGAATTACAGTTGTATGATTAACAAGAGGCTAAAGATTAACCCTCGTGTAAACCAGGAAAGATCCGCTCGAGACTTTTCGTTCAGTGTCAATCTGATATCATTGTTGTGGTTTCCACTGTGCTGTGAGGGAGACTAGACAGCTGAGAAACCAGAAGGGATGACTGTTAATACTCTGTGCTGCACTCATTTTAAGTTTTACAGCTGCAAGTTTAAAAACAAAGGTGCAAGACTAAATTGTTGTCTTGCCTGTTTTCTTCTTCAACAAACACTGTATTTAAAATCTACAGAAGTTAGCCTGATAGCAAAACATTAGTAAATAATATGTGATAACCGCCAGGAGTATGACAGTAGATCGGACATATTTTATCACTTTATGAATTGCAGCCATTGAAGCACATAAACTGAACAAAATCACATGTTGTCCTTCGGATTTAACCTTCAATGAACACGTTTGTATGTCTAAAAGAAGAGCAGACAGTGGTTTTGTAATCCGTTACGCATCACAATTCAGCGTTTGTCGGCTGAAACGTCAATGGCGCTGTTTGTACACTTCACAGCTGCAGTGTATTGACAGAAACGAGTTAATTGGGCCGCTTTTTAATTGCAATTTGCAAAGCAAATCACTGCAAATGACGTTCTATTTACATTCTGAATGTTTTTTTTTGTGCATCTTGAATGGATCCAGCAGCAGAAACATAATTCTAATCCTTGAGAAAAATAAACATTGTCTCTGACTTGTAGCTCGATATGTAGGCCAGCACTTCTGCAAGCATGAATTGTAATCTGTCTGAAATCTCGTGCAGCAAAAAGTGCACCCTCGTTCAATTTAGAAATTGCCATCATGGATATAAGCCCGTCTTGCTCGTTTGTTTGTGTTGTTTCGTATGTTTTATCCAGCTGTTCCTCCAGTCTATCATACTGCAGCGTCAGTAGTAGGTGTCTGCGTGTGCACATGAATGACTGTGATTTCAACAGATGGCCTTTTGCACCGAGCCCTCTGGAGGAATCTACCCTTCCTTGCCGAGGCTGTTATTGCTCAACACACATCTGCCGCTCTGATTTCCCCCCCCCTACAAGAAACGCTCCCAACGCTGCCACCTCCTCACCCCAACAAGCTCCGCGGGCCGTCCAGGTCGGCAGCTTTTAGCCGTACGGATTGCTTCTGGATTAGTTACGCACTGCCGCGGGAAATCAATTATGACACGCGCATTGACATGGTTGTTTTCATTGCCTCCGTCTGTCCTCTCATCTTCATATGGCCAAATGTTCCCTCCTTGCCCCCCAACCACCACCACTGGTAATCATCTCCTCAGCCACTGCTGCCACCACCTACCTCCTGCTACGGCAGCCTGTTATCAAAGCCCAGTGTCGCCCCTCCAGGCAGGGCTCTTTGGACTCGGCTTTATGAGCGAGCGGCGTAGGGAAGAGCCTGCAGAGATCAAACGTGATGGCTCAGTTTGAAGTGCGGTGGCTCTCGAGAACATGTCATTACCACTGCCTGTCAGGTCATCCCTCCAACTATCAGTGGGTTGTTATTTACAGATAACACAGAATAGAGTACAGTTCCTTTAATAAGTCCGATATAGCTGTTCTTTTTTCATGCTTTTAAATTGCTTCCCAGCGGGCACAAGTGGTACCATCTCGAACCCCCTGTATGAGTTTGACATATAGCTAATAGCTTCTGAACAAGGCAAAAAGAAGTGTGTTTCTGTTGGTTTGTTTTTCTGCAGTTGGGTTGTTGTGACAAACTGAACTTAACCTTTTGGTTTGTGCAATTAATGTAGTGTTACAGTCCACCTAAACAAGGGTTTTGGGGGTTTGTTAGCTAGCTAATAAGCCTACAGGCTAGCTAATTAATCCAACTACTTTGTGCTTTTGATGTTATGTATGTTAAAAAGTCTTCAGTGTCACATATTTATCACCTGTAGGTTTGAAAAGTCGAGTAAAATGTATTTAATAGAAGCACTTTTTTAAAAAATTAAAGAATTAACCTGCTGGATGGTTAGCTACCTAGCAGCGTACTAGCCAGCAAGCTAATTTGTTTTTACGCAACTGCTTGTTGTGTTAGATTCTAATATGAGCTTCTACTAAAGAAATAAGTCACCTAAAGTGGAGTACGAAACAGTTACGAAGTGTGGGTTTTAAATATTGCCGTGCTAAAAGTTTGTCGCTGTGCTAGCTTGTTAATTTGCAGAAACCGTTAGCTGTACTTTCAATTCACAATAATAACACGAGATTGCAGCAATGGAAAATTAATTTCAAAACACTCTGGTTAACTTGTTGAAACACATCTGAAGGATAATCCACTTATTTATTTATGCAATATGTTCTGACCACTAATATGTGTCTTGATAACAACTCAAGCTCTTTCTTGTGCTACGTTTTCTGGGATTTGAACAGTCTTAATGAATAAACACTTACAATACATAACTGAAAGACGAAATCAGATATTTTCTTAAAGAGTGCCATACTATCTAGCAAGCAAACGATAACAGTGATAATTGTTATACAAGATTTGAAGTGTTGTGATCGAGGGGTTAAAAATACTGTACTTGCTCAGTACAGTGTTACATCTATTAAATTTCAGTGTTAAATAACTTTGAACAATGCACTTTCCATTAGACATCTGTGTTTTGAGATAATAATGATAAAAAAGATAATGAAAACTACACAAAATGTGAATTTGCAGCATGTTTCCTACAAACCTGACATATGTTTTCCTCAAAGTTAGCCAGAAGTCCATCATCGGTTTGCCACAAATCTAATTTGCCTATGAAAATATGACAGTGCTGTCAGTTTGAGTCAGCTTTGATAAATACAACCGTCTGCCAGGAACCGTTACTGCCAGAAAATCTATCAATGGCAACGACAAACTGGCATGTTTGCCTCTAATGCCACCAGAAGATGCCTGCAGTGGCAAACCACTGGTGAACACGCTTGCCGGTGTTCGTAAACTACTTCTTGTTGCTGGAAGTTTGCCGTTAGTGACCAACATAAACAAATTTGTGGCGGCAAACTAGTGTTTTTGCTGCAAATCAACCATTTTTGTCAAGAGAACACACCATAAACACAACGCAAAGTAGAAACAGAGCTGTTGTCATTTGTAGCTCGTATAAGGAACTGTAATTAAATGCTTATAACCATGTTTTAGCATCATCTCTTAGACATACTATCATGTGAGTGATAAATGTTACTGCTTTTTCTAGTCTAATAAGTCAGAAAAGCAAAGAAGGACCAAATATAAACACTAGATTAGAAAACAGAAGCAAACTAAATCATCAAAATTGTCAGAAATTGACACTTTCCCCTACTGAAAAGCATGAGATAATTGATTTTTTCAGGTTTAATTCTCTTTAGCTGCGTTTAGACATGTAGTCGACTGTTCATGCTCTGTTCTCAGAGCATCCAATATGGCAGCTGCAGGACGAGTTACATCATCTAAAATCCCTCCAGAGAGAGTGTGGTATCTGGGGAATGAAAGTCATGGGAGAAATGGATGTCTTGGCTGCTCTTATTGGCCTGACTCCACCACAAACCTCACCTAGATACAGGGCTAAAAGAATTCTACTAATGTTATTGTGATTTTAGCAATTACACTTCCTCCAATTAGAGTTCCTGTTTTGTTGGGGTTTTTTTTTTTAAACGCTTCTCCCTAATCTCTTTTTGTGCACAGGCCCAGGACAAGAGGAAAGCTCTGGAGGAGACCAAAGCCTACACCACCCAGTCCCTGGCCAGCGTGGCCTACCAGATCAATGCCTTAGCCAACAATGTACTGCAGCTGCTGGACATCCAGGCCTCGCAGCTGCGGCGCATGGAGTCCTCCATCAACCACATCTCTCAGGTCAGAAATACACAACCGCCACAAGACCGTACAGCTGTGAAGAATGGTGCCCCACATTTCCCACTTCTCCTCTCACTTTCACACAGGCGCTGTTATTTTAAATCACAGTACGAGGCCCTCCGTAGTCTCCATGGTTCCCTTTTATTGGTTTATCGGTCTTATTCAAGCTCTGGCTGGCTGTGAGTTTGCCTGAATGACTGGTGGTCTGTCTTTCTTTTATGCTCTTGGCTCCCACCAGAGGCTTCCAAACACATTAGAAAACATTTACTACAATCGGACCAACATTTTAAGCATTAGTCTGCGAAATAATCACCTCAGAAACACACAGGGATAGATTTGCTCATAGCAAGTTGTAATATTTTATAGAGTGTCACCTGTATTCCTGTTTTTATAGTTTCTCTCACTTATTGGACAGTAAGTTGTCCACACAAATAGCAGACTTTTATTGTGGTAGTTATGTGGAATATTGGATTTTGTCAGATTTTTATTAAACTCTATTGATAATTTCCGAGTTGACTTTCCAAAATATTTATAATATTAACATGTTATTGCGATATAAACACACAGAGAGCGATATAGGGCTCTAACCACCCTTGCATCAGGTTATTCCTAACCTTTTCCTCTCTGTAGCATGAGGCTTTTGCCATGTGCAGGTAAATCCAGCCGCTCATCCAATGAAGGCATTAAGAGCTCAGACAAATCAAACAAAGAACTCCAGCCATGTGGCATTTGGTCGATTAGAACCGGAAGGCATTCACCAAACCCTGAACGCATGCAACACGCTCCAGAGCGAATCAAGACGCGTTAATAAATGTTAAAAAGTGAGGATTCGCAGTGATCGGATGTGGAACGGAAGCAGCAGCTCCGTCTCCCTCGTGTCTGATGTCTGTGTTTATTCCTCTGACGGACGCTTTTGCTGAGAGTGTCAGAAATTCTTTCAGGATACACTGAAGGTCAGATTTTCAGTCTAATGGAGGAAAAAGAGTGCTGCTTGAGGCTCTGAAGGCAAGAAGCAGGGGGGGGAGAGAAGGAAGGAGACATCCGGCAAATCAGGGAGAAGGCAGGAAGAAATGGAAGATGGATGATGACAGGCGGAGAAAGGCGAGAGAGCCAACACCAAAAAAAGGCATATTTACACTCACTTCAGGTTTTGAGTCAATATCCTGACACATAGCATTCAGCCGACACCAAGGTCGCCATGACACCATTGCCTGCCTCGGTTTCCATGACAACCCCCCTGAGCCACATCGGAAAAGTATATGAAAGACAGTTAGACATGGTGCTTTAGATTGGCAAAGAAAGCCATACAATAAACTCTCCGGTTAGTTGAGATTGTTTGACTTCTGTGTGCACCGCGCATGGGAAACTCCACGCCTCCTTTGCTATATTTAAGCCGGTGCACTTTGTGTAGCCATGGCGAAGCCTCAAAAATGAACCGAATGACGTCACAGAAGGTCAGCTGACGGCATACAAAGATGTTAGTACTTCTTTTGGATTTCTTCTTTTTGTTTCAGTGCAGAAGCGAAATCAGAAGCAGCTTTATTTGCCAAATATGTGGCAAGGAATTTGGTGTTTTCTTTGCTCTTAACATACGTAAACAAAATAAAACAGAAGTGCATTTAGATAAGGGCAACAGCTTACAGAAGGAAAATGAGTGTTTATACGATGTACGGCTCTTGATTTGTGTAAAAAGAGCATGTTTAAAGTGAACCAAAGTGTCTTGCATGTACAGTAATCAACAATAAATAGTTTAAAAAGTTATTTACAACGTCTATACACGAGACAGGTTGACAGTAGTGCAGCACACCTCACAGCTCATCTCCTTCCCGCTGATAATAATCGCCGCTGCAAGAACAACTCACTTCTCCACAGATCTTTATCTTTTCTCTCTGATTTTCCAAAAAACTTGTCTCAGGGAAATCTGAATCATTTAGCAGCTTTGTCTACCAGAAAACACAGAATGTTTAATGCCTTTTTCATTCATAACATCTTCATCTCTGCCTAGTTGTTTTTTCTGCATGAGCGAGAGCGGAGTTCTTAATGTGTTTGCCATAATGAAGCGCGTCTCTGTTTTAATAATAAAGAGGCAGGGGCTGTGAGCTTTGCAGGCTGTGGGTGTGTTATTGCTCTCTGCTGTCTTGTTCAGAGGTGGATCATTATCGTGTTGCCCTCGCTGCTCATGGATATGAGATTAGCGGAAGCCCTCAAGGACAGTGTTGCATTCTGCTGAATGGGTAATGGAGAGGGAAGCCTGTAGATTGTAGGGTCTGTGTTGTTTTAACCGCAAAAAAATAAAAGAAGATCACCTCAGGTGCAGATGAAATGTGATAAAACTTCTCTGTAGTTTGAAAAAAAACTCTTCAGAATTTACTGGCTGTGCATCATCCTCTTTCTTTGGTTTCTATCTTAAGCCTGTACCGATCCGTGCCCGGAGCTAGAGATGCCTTCAGACTGCAGCTCCCTTACATTAATATGTCAGTCGGTGTGTGGTGAGACGCAGTCTGGCGTCAGGGCAGCTTCCTTTGGTCTGCCCACAGTTACGAGGGGTTCACTCTGGTCAGGGTGTGTCTGCTCGGTGATGGCATCTCTCCGACTGAAATGCAGCACATCTTACGTTGTGTTTTCTTTGTGCTGGCTGACATCGGCCGGTGGGTATTGTTCCGCCTCACCAAAAGGGCGTAGGGCGTTCCTCGTAGGGTATCATAGTTGAGGACAATCAGTCTGCGACGCTTCATGACATCCTGACAACACTTTTAGCTTTTCTCTCATCATGTGACAGCTTCCACAATACGCCTGTAGCGCTAATTTACAGGAGCTAAGGCTGAAAAATTCACTTTTAAGCAATTCAGTTAGCAAATTGCAAAGACTGCAATTAAGCATTGGGTGTGGCTGTTAAACAATGAGACCAATGCTGTAATTCAGTTTTATTTATTTGAGCAGCTTCAACAGTTCAGGTTTTGCTTATGCTGCCCATTGATTAATGTATACTCTGTGGATCAGGCATGTAGTTTTTGCTGACATCAGCTTAGACTCATTATTTAATCGCCACACCTCGTGCATTGTGCAACTCGTCTGAGCCAGGGTTTAAAATGTTGATGATTTTACATATTCACACCATCCTCCCTGTATGACTGTCACACTTTGTTTGTGATACGTGATGTGAAAATCCCCCATCAGTTGTTTTAAATCATATTACAAAGTGAAGATTGAACTGAAGCCTGACTTTTAAAAATGCCATCGCAAATCAAATCACAAGATCTGTCAGAAAAAAAATGTGCTTTTTCCCAAAATCGTTCAACTCTGAAAGTAGCCCTGCTGTCCTGTTGTTGTTTTCTTTCTTTTTTTTATGTTTTTGCAAACTCAAGGCAGCCACTGTCTGTCTGGGGACTATTTGAATAAGTCAGGCAAATTAGCAACATTCATCTTAGCTCTCTATTTAAAAGCACTTTGAGTCAAAGTCTGTTGTTTTAAATGTGCTCTATAAATAATTCCACTAGACTGGACGATCACTCCTGCCATTGTTTAGCTGCTTTCACACATGAACGCCAGACAGTGTCCAGAGAATCGGGTCTGGAGTTGCTCTTTCACACATTGTAGCACACAACAGGGGATTGTCAATGTGTTCTCACTACCAGGAAACACTCCATTTGGTTTAGGTGAAGGGTTGGCACCTGAGTAGATTGTGCAAGAGGCGATGCACATCAACATTCACTCGCTGTGAATTCTCTGGTCTCCTGCCTCCTCCGTTCACACATGGGCTCAATCGGACATTACACGGGCTATATACTAGGGAGCTGGCAGGGTAAAGTCCGTTTAATGACTTGCCCGACTGATTTGGACAATTGCGTTCCCGCCTACAGCTCCTCTGGGCATCTAGAGAGGTTCAGGGCTGCAGTGCATGTGTGGAAACGGCGTTTGTTTACATTCTTGTTTCCAGCACTCGGTCCCTGGCACCTCCATCCCCATGACATCACTCAGATCCTGAAAGCTATGATTGGTCGGAGACCAACGTGTAGCCTGCCGTGTGTCGCAGCGAGAATTTATCACCCTATAATCGAGTGATCTGACACAGTGAACATGTTGTGCCATCTGAACCTGGTCAAGGGGGTTAACAGATGGGTTTGGATCATTTGGCTCATTTGCAGCAGTTCAAAAGACATAAAAGTAACATCTTCAAATTGCTCAGTGTCCAAAAACACCCCAAAACAAATAGCAAATTCTCACAATTTCGAAGCTGCAGCCAGTCTAATTAAGCAGAATATTGATGCGTGTGTTAATTAAGTTTGAGTCAATTTACTATTCAATTAAAACAGTCCTCATTGGTTTCATGTTATCTGCTGCAACTAGTTTAGCCAGTGACAACATCAGATCATTTTGCAACGACGCCTCGCAGTTCTAACTCGAATCACGTCATCATTTATGACCAATCAAGGTGCCAATAGAAACTGTACTAGCTTTGCAAAATTTTAATCGTATGCACTTAAATACAACAGATGCATCTTCTCCTTGGATTTCCCACTGCTATTCAGTGAATATCTGGGTCTTGGTGCAACAAAACTTGGAAGCAAAGCACGTGTTCCTGCATATCATATGCGCCTCCAGATGCATAAATGTTTGTGCGCGCGCGGCGAGGTGTTTGTTTGTGTGCCGCCTTCCCCGCTGTCATTGCCATTCACGATCTCTCCGCAGTATTGAGGCGGAAGGGCTGAGGGGAGAATGGAGTAGCTCGCGGGGCTTCCACCTTGTGCTGCGTGTGAAGTGGCTGCTAAGAGGCTGCGAACAGGGAGCGCTTTGTCCGTCCGGCGGAAGAAACCGCCTCACAATGAGAACCTCTCTGTGATACCCCGAATGGAGAGGGGAGACGGGGGAGAATGGTGGTATGTGTGTGTGAGTCTGCGGGTTTCCCTTGACACACGGTGCTGAAGCTCTTTTTTTTCCCTCGAATCTAATCTCCATCACATAATTTGGTTTTACAGAATTGAACCCAGAGGGATGCAGCC